TTGATTGCGTGCGCGCAGAAAAAATGCAATCATCCAACACATGCATCCCTCTCATGCCACGTTTTCGAGGATGAATTCGTGTCTGAGTGCTGCTTTGAGTAGAATAAAATTATTAAAAAGCACATTAAAGACTATATGCACATAAAATAAAACATTCTTAAAGGTGCATCTTATGGAAAAATACCAATTGATGGGTGCTGCTTTCAGTTTTAAAAGAATCAAGCAGCTTTTAAAAAAAATCTAATTTGCAGAAAAAATGACAGGAATTTTGCAAAAGAAAAAGATTAAACATTTTGGGACTGTTAAACGAACATTCTACTTTAACACATTCTTTCGACTGCAATACAACAGCTAACATTATGAATGACGGAGTGTAAAGCCGTCTCTCCTGTGTGCTTCAACAGCGTGTCCTGCTGTTTATGACTGAGGAGGCGGAGAGAATGCGCTGTATAGTTTTACCTCAATATATTTAAATAAAAGCTAACATCGAACTGCTCACAATGCTCAAAAAGTTTAACTAAAATGCACAACTCTTGTCGGTTGCACCTGGGATGCACAGTAAACCAAACACACCATTCTTTTAATGTGATATTTGTGAAGTATGTAAACCAACCGCAGATGCTTTGTCATGTTGGTCGCGACACTCTGCTTTATAACTTATTAGTTTATTATTGTAATTACACTTAGCTTCGCCATCGTTCTTCACAACATGTAGCCACTCTTTTGAGCACATCTTGTGGTCCATCTCTAAACAAATGTTCAGATTATTATTGAAGGTGCTCTCCAGCGGCAAAGTTCCTGGCAGAGTGGTGAGTGAAAAAATGTGCGTGCAGTAATTGGACAAGAGGAATCAAAGTTTAAATTATATAACAAGTATCTGATTCTTAGTATCTAATCCCAAGCCATTTTTTTTTTCAAATTTGTGGCTGTGATGTTTAATAAGAATTACATATACATATACAAAGGAATAATCATCATTATTAATCGTTATTAACATTTTGAACAAAATAATCATGATTAGCAGCCCGGGTTGCCTTGGTGGTAAACAGCGTATTTCATTTATTCAGTCAGGAAGGCTCTCAAAGCATGCGTCTGTGACCCCAATGTGACCTCCGGTGGACAGTAGCAGACTCCTAAATGAGATTCAGATTTAGAGTTCCACATGTGGTTATTAATTAGCAATTCAAGAGTTCCCACTTAGATATGCTTGGCACTTATAGCAGGTTTGGCATGCTGTCCCGGGAGAGAACCCTGAGCTCGGAGATATTTGAGCCCAGGGCTCCCGCCCGGTCTAGAAGCATATCAGGAGAACCGAGATCAGGTAGGTCTCGATCGCTCCCCCTTTAGAAGGGGAGAAAAAGGGAGGAGATGGGGTGGAAGGGGGGATTCTTCCAAAATGAAGATAGTGCAATGAGGAGAAAGTGATCCATTTATACTAAGCTAGGATCATTCTGATTGGATTATTACTGATTACGGATAAGTGGCCAGCGGTACACAATCATATCACGTGCTCCTCTCGAAATTAGTTTATGAAACTTCACATAATATAAAATATAACAAGCGTTAACATTACGTGTGCAGGTTACATTGTAACGGCATATCTAACAACATGCTACGTGACGAGATTGGCAATGTTTGGTATCTTAATACTTATGCTTGTGTGTTGCAGAAGAGAAGCCTGTCGGGTTCAGGTTAAAACCTCCCACGCTCATTCATGGCCAGGCCCCAAGCGCTGGTAAGATCAACTCATTCCTGCTTCCAGCATCTCAGTGTTTCTACACACACACACATACTACACAACACGTGAAAACACTCCAGAGCAGGAAAGATTGAGGAAATTAGTCACACTGTAAAGCTTCCTCTTTCACTCCTTTTTTATATTCAATTTTTTTGAGTTTAGTTTTGGTTTAAATTAATTTTACATATTTAATGCACTTGTCATTCACTTATGTATACTTTTTTAATGTTTCTTATTTCTATTAAACATTTTTTATTTAGCTTTTAACAATTTTCTTGACACTTATTTTTATTTCCAAAGGCAATATTTCTAATCTTTGGTTTCTGATTGTTTTTTTAACGCTTATTTTAATATACAGTACAGTGGTCCCTCATTAATCGCGGGAGTTACGTTCTAAAAATAACCTGCATTAGGCGAAATCTGTAAAGTAGGCAGCTTTATTTTCCACAATTATTATAGATGTTTTAAGGCTGTAAAACTCCTCACTACACACTTTAAACACTTCTCAGACAGGCATTAACATCTTCCCACTCTTCTCTTGTTTAAACACTCTCAAAGTTCAAACCTTCCTAGAAAAATAAGTCCAGTATTATAGAATAAAACCAAATATCAAAACCTGCTGTCAGGCGCAAACATTCATCACTGTCAGCAAAAGGTTCATAAAGCTTTTTAGCTTTCGTGTGGATAATGTTGGCATCCAGCGTAATGTACTTTATCCTGCAGCCACTGATGCACAAAGCGAAAGCAGACTCCATCCTTAAGGGGGTCGTACACTGCATGCGCCACACACATGAGAGTTGGAAGTTACACACGGGACAAGAACATTTGCATGTTATTTTCAATAAAATTATTCAGATGGTGCTCTGTGGCACGGCAGAAATATGAACAGTGTCCTGAGTCATAGCTGGTCAGCTGCTAACTTGGGGTGCCGGTGTGTGTACCCTGATTTAAACCTGATATATGTAACAATTCTAAAATGTGTGGTGCAGCGCATGCGGTGTGCGACCTCTGGTCTTGCTGTGGACAGTTACAACCCTTCTTGCATCCTTGTCGAAACTCACTGTGAGCGATCAAAGATTTATCTTTATTTGGCAAGCTGAATGAATTCTGTACTGTACAGGAGACAGGAATGGATTTGATTGACAGTGGCCTGCAGCCAATCAGAGCGCAGAACACAATACGCTGTAAAACAAAATTGAATTGAATTGCAAAAAAACCCCCCACAAAACTGCGAGGGTACGAAAGGTGAACCACGTCATAGCGAGGGACCACTGTAACACAAATATTTTTAGCATTTTAGTTTTTTTTTATTTTATTATTATTATCATTATTTTTTAAAGATTTATTTTTGGCCTTTTTCAGATAGGACAGTATTTAGACAGGAAGCGAAGTTGGAGAGAGAGAGAGAGAGAGAGAGAGAGAGAGAGAGAGGGGTGTAGGGAAGGGGAAATGTCCTTGAGCTGGGATTCGAACTTGGGACGCCCTGACGTGCTACTGCACCATTTGTCGGCGCGCTAACCACTAGGCTATTGCACTAACAGTATTTTAGTTTTAATTAACTTTAACACTGGCTTAGAGAGCTGTTTTGTGAAAAAAGTCGTCCCAATGCATGAGCATTACAGTTAAAATCATAGTTTACCCAATAATAAAATGTACTCTCTCTTCACTCCCTCAAGTGAATCCAAATCTTTAAGTTTCTTTTTTTGCTATTGAACACAAACAAAGATATTCTGAAGAAAGCTGAAAACCTGTAACCATTGACTTCCATAGTAGGAAAAATAAATACAATGGAAGTCAATGGTTGCAGGTTTTTAGCTTTCTTTAGAAAATCTTTAGTGTTCAATATAATAATGAATCTCTTAAAGGTTTGAAACAAGTGAAGGATGAGTAAGAGATGAGAAAATAAAAAAGTTTTTTGGTTGAACTATCCCTTTAAACCTTTGTATCAGGCACTGGTGTGTGTTTTTGCCCCGTGGTGCTTGGTTTCTGATTCAATCCGTTAGTAGGTTGTTTTCCAGGTGTTCCCAGTCAAAAGCCCAAAGAACAGCAGCGCAGTGTCCTGAGACCAGCCGTTCTACAGGCGCCGGCAGCCAAAACCCTCACAGAGCCCGTCAAGACCAGTATGTACAGCTCCTATAATGCACTCTGCTTACATAATGCTCACCTCTTTTTCCCCATTTTGCTCACCACTGCTCCCATAATGCACACTGTTGGTCCTATAATGCTCACTGCCAACCTTGACAGTGCAAGAAAGTGTGGAGGTCTTCGAATATTTATCACAGTAGCATATGGCATGCTGTGTTGACACTAAATGCCTATGAAGCATCAAGCGTGAGGGATTTACATATTAAGTCCATGCAAAGATGCGAATAAACAATCAGTAGTGCGATTCACACGTATGAGGCGGTGCGAAAGACGCGATTTGTGCGAATGAAGTGGCGCGAGTTGTGCGTTTTGCGCAATTAAAGGCAGATTTATTTTTTTTAAAAAAAAGAAGGTGATGTTGTTGTTGTCCCGAGGGGAAATCCTCTTGCCGACAGCAGGCAACAGCTCATCAAACTGGGCTGTGCTCAGTCTGAAGCCCCGCTGAAAACCTCCATCATCCAAGTATAGTTTCTGGAGGATTTGATAAACTCACAGAGCTGTGTGCACCTCTGAAAGGATCCAGTGGACTCAGACGCGGCGCCAATCTAATCTACGCTGTTATTCAACCTTCCTAAAGCACATAAAGCACAACTACTATCTCAATAAAATCCATGTTAGCCATTTAGCATGAAGCTAGATTCACCGCGAATCCACATCTACTGTGAAGTGAATTTGACGCGCAAATGAAGCGAGTAAACTCAAAATGTTCATGCGTCTATTTATAAGTGAATAGCGCGATTTATTCGCACATGCCGCATCTGGTGTGAACACAGCAATAAAAGTTTCGAAATCAATCTGAATGGTAAAGTGGAATAGTTTTGTTTGAATTGTACTATTTTTTAAATAAATTGAATTGGAAAATTATATAGTGTCGATGTATGTGTATATGTGTATATATAATGGTGGGCCAAATTTAAAGGATACCATAGGCCCTAGTTTGTGCATCTCTGATCTAAACAGTGTTTTAAACATGATAAAAGTGTGTTGAGAAAGTGACATGGTTGGTTTATGCTGTTGTTTTCTTTCACAGACTCCAGCTGTGGGACGAATGGAGTGGGAAAGTTTGGAGATTCGTCATCAGAGAACCGATCCATTTTCCTGAACAACACAGAGAGTTCGGACAAATCACCGGTGAGGACGTACAGCACAAACATCTGTCCTGACAAATAATCTGCACCCGTGACATGCTGTTTAGGACATCACCTGTGATCAGTGCTCATGCTGGTGATGACCTGCCGCCTGGCCATTCATTACTGATGACGGATAAATAAACATGAGAATAGAGTCGGAAGGAAACATTTTAGATCTAGTTAGATTTAGTTGCAGCAACAAAAGGAAAATTTTAAGGATTTTTTCTACAATGCCATTTTATTTTTTTATACATTTGTTTACGTTACAAAAAAAAAAACAATATATGTATGTTTTGTACTTCACCTAAATGATTACCTAAATGATTTACCATTGCTAAATGCCAAAATAATGAGATTTTTTTTTTATTATTAATTTCTAGACAGTCAAAAGTTTACACACATTTCCTTGGTATTTTTTAGCTTTGCTTTTAAACTTTGTTCAAATGTTTTGGGTATCCTTTCACAAGCTTCTCACAATAGTTTGCAGGAATTTTGGCCCATTCCTCCTTACAGTATTGGTGTAACTGAGTCAGATTTGTAGGCTGTCTTGCTCACACAAGCTTTTTCAACTCTGCCCACAAATTTTTAATAGGATTGACATCAGAGCTTTGTGATAGCCACTCCAAAACATTCACTCTGTTGTCCTTAAAGCACATTTTAACTAATTTGGCAGTATGCTTAGGGTCATGGTCTGTTTGGAAGACCCATTTGTGGCCAAGTTTTAATTTCCTGGCTGATGTCTTGAGATGTTGCTTCAGTATTTCTTCATGATGCCATCTATGCTGTGAAGTGGACCAGTCCCTGCTGCAGCAAAACAGCCCCACAACATGATGCTGCCGCGCCCATACTTCACAGTAGGGATGGTGTTCCTTAGGCTTGTAAGCTTTCCTCTCTGTCCTCCAAATGTAACACCGGTCATTACGGCCAAACAGTTCTCTCTTAGTTCCATCAGAGCACAGGACATGTCACCAAACAATAGTCTTTTTCCCAGTGTAATTTAGCTAATTGTAATCTGGCTTTTTTTGGTGATTCTGGCTTGTTGATTTTCCCATGTTGTCACAGAAGGAAGCAGTGTGTTTGAGGTTTTCCTTAAATACTATTCTACAGTTGTGCCTCCAATTAACTCAAATGTAATCAATTTGCCAATCATAAAACCCCCAAAACCTTGACACCATCATCATCATCATCTGAGCTTCAGAGGCATAATAATCTTATTGTGTGTAAACTTGACTTTCAAGAAAAGTTATTATAATTTCTCAAAAAATATCTCTTAAATTAATTTCCAGAGTTTAATCCTTTTTTAAAGTAATTTTGCATTTAAATTTTTCGGCTTACTTTCAAATGATGCTATTGTGTTTGTTTTACAAATTTAATGTGGTTTTTATTTTACAGATTTATTTATTTAAATTTTTTTTTACTTAGTTTTGGAAAAGTCATGGAAATAAGTTGAGCAAGTATCTGTTTACTTGAATATAGGGCTGAACAATATATTGTTTGAGCATCGATTATTGCAATCTGTGTATCTGCAATAGTCACATTGCAGGAATAGATTATTTATTAAAGATGAAATGATAAAGATATTATTGTATAAATTTATTTATACATTGATAGCCATGTTATTTTACGTTTGATTGTTCAATTCCTATATTTCAATACTGTTAAACTCAAAGAAAACTTTTATTTTTGCTCTATTGTTTTTTTTATTATTACTTGTAATTTATTATATTTTTATGCACCACATAGAAAAAGACTTGATCACCGCAGTCGATATAATTAATGAAATATTTTCAAAAAGGCCTATTTAAATCAACTGATAAAAATATTTTCATTTCGCAGTGTATATTGCAGCAAAGCAAAATATCACAATTTAGTGTTGTCATGATATTGGAATTTGAACAGCTATTTCCCACTAACATTTCAGCACTGTTGAGTGCGTTCTTAAACAGTGCTGATTTGCCATTGTGTTCACGTGCTCAAAAGAAATGATCGACAAAATAATATATTATTTCTTTTTTGTAAGCTAAACATCAGGTTTTATTCTACAGATTTATACATTTTTTAAGTTAAAGTTAAAACATTTAAAATAATTTAAAACATTGGGATTTTTTGTTTTAAAATGAAAATAAACATTTCTGAAACAGCACTTTTTTGTTATTTTATTTCTATTTCTATTTAATTATTTTTATTGTATTTCTTTTCAATGAGAAGAAATGCAATCAGTTGTTCACAGAATAAGACCAAAGTTAAATTTTACTTAAACGCAAAACTATAAAAAGTAAATCCTGATAAACTGAGAATTTTCAAATGATGTTTAAAATTTCTCTTTTTTTTCTTTTTTCTGTTTTTCAGATAGTGTATTCTCAAATAATGTTTTTTATTTATATTGCATATTTGTAATATGGTCGTTTTGTATTCATATTTGTGGTGTTTTTATTTTATTTTATTATATTTTACAAAAAACTACTATCTGACCGACCAAGTTAAGCCTTTAAATTGCACTAAGCATTTGTAAAATAAGTAGTAAAATATGATGTACTGTTATCATGACAGACAAATTATTAAAACCATAATTTTAAAATGTGTTTGATACAAATTTTTATTTCTGTTGACAACATTTTTATTTTAAAATGAAAATAAATGTAATCATTAGTTCACAGAATGACCAAAAATTTATTTTACTAAAAAGTATAACTATAAATCATAAATCCAGAGATAAACTGAGAATTTAAAAAAAAAAAGTCTCTTATATTTTTTTTTTGTTTTTATTTATTTTTTATTTATTTTTTAAATACTGTATTCTCAAAATAATGTTATATATTTATATTGCAAAGTTGCAATATTGGACTGACATCATGTTTTATTATTATATTTTTTTTTTACACCATGGCCTATTTGTTTTGTTTACCCAAATCACCAATAGCGCATGTATTTGGACTGTGGGGGAAGCAGGAGCACCCTGAGGAAACCCACACCAACACGGGGAGAAGATGCAGTCTCCTCACAGAAATGCCAACTGACCCACTCGAACCAGCAATCTTCTTGCTGTGAGGCGATAGTGCTAACCACTGAGCCACCGTGCTGCCTTGACATCTTGCATGTTGGTAAAACTGCGCATTAATTGTTTCTGTGTGTGTGTGTGTTAACAGAAGCGGGAGAAGGAAGGAGAGGAGAACGGAGGTGCACAGAAAGACGACAGCAGTCAGAAGAAGGATGGTGCGGTGGACTCATCGTTTGTGTTTGGCCAGAATATCAAAGAGCGAGCGAAGGTCAGCTCTGACTCATTCCTCTCATTCTTTATCCAAAGCAGCAAATTGGCTCCACATAGGTTCCCTCGGCGTGTGTTTGTGTTTATTTCTCAGATTATGTTACCGTGTTTTTTCCTCCACAGTTGGAAGAAAACAGCACGAACAGCGACTCAAAAGACTCCACACAAGATCCTGGCAGCACCAATTATTTTTTGCAGTACATGGGCAGCTCCAGGTAACTGATTTTTTATATTAATGTACAGGGTTCATACTGTAGCACACAGCTGGACGATATGGAAAAAATGCAATCTCGATTAATTCTTTCCCATATTGAGCAAAAACGACATATGCAGTTGAAACCAGAAGTTAACATACACTGTATAAAAAAAAGCACATAACCATTTTAAAAAGTCAGATGTTAATGTGACCAAACTTTTTCTCTTTTACGTAAGTTAGGATTATCAAATGTGTTTCTGTTATGCTTAATAGCAGAATGATGAGATATTTTTTGAGAAATTGTTATAACTTTTCTTGAAAGTCAAGTTTACACACAATAAGATTATTACGCCTCTGAAAAAGCTCAGATGATGATGATGGTGTCAAGGTTTTGGAAGTTTCTGATTGGCTAATTGACAACATTTGAGTTAATTGGAGGCACAACTGTAGAATAGTTTTTAAGGAAAACCTCAAACACACTGCTTCCTTCTGTGACAACATGGAAAAATCAACAAGCCAGAATCACCAAAAAAGACAGATTACAATTAGCTAAATTACACACTGGGAAAAAGAAAAATGTTTGGAGACATGTCCTGTGGTCTGATGGAACTGAGAGAACTGTTTGGCCGTAATGACCAGTGTTACATTTGGAGGACAAAGAGGAAAGTTTACAAGCCTAGGAACACCATCCCAACTGTGAAGTATGGGGGCGGCAGCATCATGTTGTGGGGCTGTTTTGCTGCAGGAGGGACTGGTCCACTTTACAGCATAGACGGCATCATGAAGAAAGAACATTATGAAGAAATACTGAAGCAACATCTCAAGACATCAGCCAGGAAATTAAAACTTGGCCACAAATGGGTCTTCCAAACAGACCATGACCCTAAGCATACTGCCAAATTAGTTAAAATGTGCTTTAAGGACAACAGAGTGAATGTTTTGGAGTGGCCATCACAAAGCCCTGATGTCAATCCTATAGAAAATTTGAGGGCAGAGTTGAAAATGCTTGTGAGCAAAATCACAAATCTGACTCAGTTACACCAATTCTGTCAGGAGGAATGGGCCAAATTTCCGGCAAACTATTGTGAGAAGCTTGTGGAAGGAGACTCAAAAGATTTGAACAAAGCTATACAGTTTAAAAACTAAAAAAAAAAACAAGGGAATGTGTGTATACTTTTGACAGAAATGAATACAAAATTCTCAAAAAAACAAACAAACTCATTATTCTGGCAGTTAGCAAATGTAAATCATTTAGGTAATCCTAACACACCTGAAATAGTAAACGTTTAGTATGATTTATCATCAGACATTTAAAAAAAAATGGTTATGTTCCTTTTCTTAGTGTGTATGTAAACCTCTGATTTCAATTGTATTTCAATATCAGTTGTTAATGCTTCCAGATTTAAAAGAGTACCCCAACAATGACTGAAGCCACAAAAACGAGAGGGTCCATTAAATAGAATGACCTTTTTTTTGTGGTTGATAATGCTTGACGAGCGCAAATTCGTTACATCTCTAATATCAACACACTTCTAGATTCTCATTGTTGCACATTTCTCAGCCTCTGTTACTCTTTACCTCGCACTTTTGTGTTAACATTTATTATTATTTATTAAGGATATGTGTTTTCACATTCTGATTCCAATGCCTGATTATTAAACTCTTAAGCTGACTATAAATAGTTAAATTCAATTCAATTCACCTTTATTAGTATAGCGCTTTTACAATGTAGATTGTGTCAAAGAAGATCATAGCAAATTAAAGCAGTGTCAGGGCTCAACAATAAGGACTGCCCGATGGCCCGGGGCCAGCGTGTGAGACGCTCAGGACTGACCTGATCGGGTCACTGCTGCCTTGTTGCTAAAGTTTAATTTGCCTGTGACTAGTTGTCAATTGCGTGCAAATACATTTTTAGAATTGAGAAACAGTTCGTATTTTCAAGCCTTCAAATGCTACCTTCTCGGTTTTTCTTATCTGATTGGATGTTGTGAGCACGTTATTAGTACAGCGAAGAGACAGCAACATGGCGGTAACATCAAATGATGATGCTAAAGGAAAACATTTGTTTCTAACGTCTTGGAAGCAGACATATACCAGGGTACACCACAACTAAAAAAATATAAGTGATCTTTTGTACAGTTTGCCGTCAGTTTGGCAGGTCTTTAGCCGTCTTTTGTTTCAAAACACTTAGAATTTTGCTCATTACACATTTATAATTTTTTTAAAAATATTTAAATTCTATATTTACAAACATTTTGACACATTTTTTTTTATTTGTGGCTAAGAAATAACTATTAACTTTTTTTTTGGTGGGGCCAGTGAAAATATTGGCAGGGCAAGTAAAAATCTGAACCACTGGTTCGATTGGGCCAGTAGAAAAAATCCTTAGCGTTGAACCCTGTGTGTAGTTCAGTTTTCAGAGTTTATGTTCAGTACAGTTTAGCTCAGATCAGTGTGGTTTAATAATCACTACTGAGAGTCCAAACACTGAAGAGCAATCCATCGATGCGCTTAAATGAAATATTTTAAACACTAAAATATATTGTGTTATTTGGAAGCGTTTACTTGCATTGTGATAATATTATATTGTCTTAAAATTGTCTTAAAATGACAGGAACGTCATTTATCGCAATATATTTTAGTGCAATATATTGTACAACAAAAAATAGACATTGTGACAGGCCTAGTGTCACAGTGTATTTGTTACCGGGAGTAGTATAATCTATACTTCACATCAAGGACCACAATGGAATTATAGATGTTATAGTGTATATCCTTCACTAATTTAGTGTATTCATTTTTTGTCTAATAAAAAGAAAGGACCGTTCAATAGACGTCTGTGAATCTGTCTGCGTTTGGAGTCTGTCTCCAGTGTGACGTCCTGTAAATCTGCTTCTGTTTGTTCTTACAGCTCCAACAATGCCACCAACAGCTCGGATAAAGGATCCAAGTTTGTTTTTGGCCAGAATATGTCGGAGAGAGTGCTGGTGAGAGATGCTTTTGGGTGCAAACTGTTCAGCTTTTAAAGGCACAATATGAACGATTTGTTTCATTAAAATGTTCAAAATCCTCTAGAACAGGCATGTCCAGACTCGGTCCTGGGGGGCTGGTATCCAGCAAAGTTTAGTTCCAACCCCAATCAGACACAGCTGGCCAAGCTAATCAAGCTCTTACTTGGCAGTCAGTCCTCCAGGACCGAGTTTGGACACCCCTGCTCTAGAACAACAGATATACAGTTGAACTCAAAATAATTTGCCCTCTTGTGAATTTTTCCCAGATGATGTTTAACAGAGCCAGGAATTGTTCACAGTATTTCCTTTAACATTTTTTCTTCTGGAGAAAGTCTTGTTTGTTTTATTTTGGCTAGAATAAAAGCAGTTTAAATTTTTTAATAAACAGTTTAACATCAACGTTATTAGCCCCCTAAGCCATATTGTTAGTATATAATGACTTGCCAACTTTTACAATAAGCAACATTAAAATGCATTCATCAGATTATTTTGTAATCATCAGAGGTGAATAAACAAAGTTTTTGTGTAAATGTTTTTAGAGCCCCCCAAAAGGAGGAGAAGTGTCAGCAGAGGCCAGTAAAGAGGTTTCCGCTCCAGTATCAGAGCCGTCATCACAAGAGGCCACACCGGAGAAAAGTAGGTGGCATTTAGTAAACATGACTGATTTATTTTCAGTGTATCTTGTACTTTATTTAAATCTATGTGCTTATTTATATATATATATATATATATATATATATATATATATATATATATATATATATATAAAACAGTTCTGTCTGGTTCTCAAATCTGATTGGCTGATAGTCGTGCGATATTTTGCAATGTCAGCACCCCTACAGCCTCTTTACCCTTTGTGTATTACTCCGCCCACATACAGCCAGCAAAAAGCAGACACTACAGATCTAAAGTTTGAAAGATGCACGCTCAACTGTTTAACTGTCAGCTTATGATTTGAATCCGGAAGAAAGTAGTCCCTCATACTAAAGGGTTTTTGAGACTCTCCATGTTTGCTTTTGTTTTTATATACACAATTATGCCGTCAAACTGTTGTATAAATGCAATATCACACTCGTAGCAGTGCGATATGGCACAACGCACGTCTCCCACCAGTGCCGATATACAGCCATATTGCTCATATATATATATATATATATATATATATATATATATATATAATTATTTAAAAAAAAATTTTATTGTTTCATATAAAATGAGTAATAACAAATTTTATAAAGTACCAACAATATTGCAAATTATTATACAGTGGTCCCTTGTTAATCGCAGGAGTTACATTTTAAAAATAACGTTCATCGCTGTCAGTAAAAGGTTCATAAAGCTTTTTAGCTTTTGTGTGGATATTGTTGGCATGCAGCGTAATATTCCTTTTGCTGCAGTCACTGATCCACAGAGTGAAAGCAGACCCCATAGTTAAGGGGGTCGCACACCGGATGCGTCACGCACATGACAGTTGGAAGTAACACACACCAGATGCGCACATTCGCATGTTATTTAAAATGAAATTATTCAGATGGCGCTCTGTGGTGTGGCTGAAATATGAACAGTGTCCTGAGTCGTAGCTGGGTACCGCAAACAGCCTCCGACTTGCAGCGCTGGTGTGCGTACCCTGATATAAACGTATGTTTACAATTCTAAAATCCATGGAGCGGCACATCCAGTGTGGAACCACCTTTACGATGGTTTTGCTGCGGACAGTTAAAACCCTTGTTTAAACTCACACTGCTAGTGATTGAAGATATGTTCATTTGGCAAGCTGAGGGCATTCTGTACTGAACAGGAGACACTGAGGAGATTGATTGACAATGGTTTACAGCCAATCTGGACGCAGAACAAAATGAAATGTCATACTCAAAAAGTATGTCAAATTACATTCAAAATAAAATCCGCAAAGCTGCAAGACTACAAAATGTGAACCGTGTTATAGCGAGGGACCACTGTATAGCAAAAATTTATAAATGCATAATATATGTCAGTTTTAACAAATTAGTGTTTGACAAACTTTTGTAATAAGATGTTAAATAAAATTTTAGATATGTATACAACAAAAAGTTTAATGAAACATTAAATTATAACAATTTAACAACAAAACCATTATAAAACATTGAATATCTTAGTATTAATTATTATTAAAATAATTATTTACATTAAATCATCAAAAGCATTACAATACAGCATTATAACAAAAATCTTTGATAAAATGTCAATAAAATTCCATCAGAATAAAATATATAAATACTTAATATATGTCGGTTTTAACAGATTAGTGTACGACAAAATATTGTTATATAAGATTTAAAATAAAATTCAAAATATTTAAAAGTATACAACAATGAATAAAAGTGTATTGAAACATTAAATTATAAAATATTCAATATGTTATTGACACATTATTTACATTAATTACATCAAAAGCATAACAATACAGTGTAATAACAAAATTATTTGATAATATTTCAATAAAATTCCATCAGAAAAATAAATGCTAATGTATAAGATTTATAATAAAATTATAAGTGTATACAAATGATACGAAACTAAATTGTAAAAGTGTAATGAAACATTAAATTGCAACAATTTAACAAAACCATTATAATATATTTAAAATTATAGTAATTATAACAAATTATTAACATTAAATCACCAAAAGCTAAACAATAAAGCATTATAAAATATTATTTGATAAAATGTCATTAAAATACCATTAAAATAAAATATGCTGATATATAAGATTTATAATAAAATGATAAAATAATTAGTGCTGTCAATCGATTAAAAAAATTAACTAATTTATCGCACCTTTTTTAAAAAATTTATCGCATTTAAAATACTGAAACTTGTAATTTTGGCTATTTAAATGTAAAATTAATGTAAACGCAAGATAAAAAATATTTAAATTCAAAATATAATTGTTTAATAGAATTTTAGTTTAACTTGTAACACAGATTTCTTCATGTAAACAACATACCCACAATAAACCCATCAAGATCCTGGCTTGAAAGCCATATTTATTACAGAAATTAAAACACAGGCATGTTAATGACATTTAAATTTCAAAACAATCAGTGCCAATAAAGAAAACACTGATTTCCATGTTGGATTCTAAGTGGACTGCAAAAAAATGCCAAAATACAGGAATTGCAGATATGGAAAATGAAAAATTATAATAATAAACTATAGAATACAAACTGTTGCACTCATTGTAAATTTTTATTGCTGAGAGTTGAGAACATTAATTATAGAGTAGAAACAATTTTGCTTAATCCTCATTTACATTCATCCAGTTGCTAAGTCTAGGAGTATCCCGCAACTGCACAGAGACTCCCAAATGCCCGCAAATGAATGATAATTTCTCACAAACCGATCGTTAAATACATTGCACACCCCTCTCGCCCCTACTCAGATACGTCGCTCACTCCACCCCTGACACAGACACACACACAACGCGCTGCAGACGTTTTGGCCCCAACGGCCTTCCATACTGGAGCGACTCCCCTCAGATTCAACACGCATGATCACGTTCATCAAATTTGCTTAAACTAAGCGTCCTAAAGTATTACTGTATTTCACAAGGATTCTGACACAACAACGCGAAGCATACGCTTTCGTTGCGTTTTATGAGGAAACACGCTAAACTTGGAGGGCTCATGCTGAAAGGCAGAGTAATGCCCTGTCTTTGACAGCTCGCAACTTCACCGCAGACTTTCTAAGTACATTCACATAAGACACCAATACTCCGATTTTAATATGATTAAGATAATACTCTTATTAAAAGTCTACCGTGTAGCCTAAGCAGGGATTTTATTACCTTAAAGGAACACCGAGTCACGAAATGCGAAGGATTTTCTTTCTGTTCACCATGCGGTATCAACTTACAACAGAAGTCAAAAGTTAAAAATGAAACACCTGAAATTGCATGAAACTTTGGAGAGCCTGGTGATGCGACTAATTGTTTTATACTGGAACTTGCCTTTAAAAAGTGCTTCCTTGGTCTTATCCACATTTATTGCATGTTGAACACACGTCCACCACAACAGGAAGTAAAAAAAAACCTGAAACTGTGTTAATTGCGTGATTTTTCTTTTTAACGCTTTAATTATTTAAAATTAATCGCATGCGTTAACGCGTTAATTTTGACAGCGCTAAAAATAGTACATAACTAAATTATAAAAGTCTAATGAAACATTAAATTCTAATAAATTAACAAAAGCATTTTAATACAATATTTAATAAATTAGCAAATAATTTACATATCAATAAAAGCAAAACAACACGACTTTGTAACAAAATATAAATACAATTCTTTCAGATCAATAATGCATAATGTATAATAAGATGTATAATGCAATTATAAATGCACAAATGATACACAATTAAATCAAAGTAGAATGAAGCATTAAATTACAAAATACGTCACTGTATCAGATAGAATCTTTTTCGTTTTTTTTTTTATATTAGTCATCATAGATTCAAGATAACTGTTTAGCTCATTAAATTTTGGATCAGCAAGTAAACTCTAATTAACATTCATCAGTTCATTCTTCATAATTGTGTTGAGGAATGAAGTGTTTTTTTCCTCTGTTTATTGTCAGATCACAGTGTGACAGAGTCTCTGGAGGAGTCAGCGGCCGCGTACACCAAAGCCACTGCCAAGAAGTGCATTCTGGAGAAGGTGGAGGTCCGTACGGGAGAGGAGGCGGAGAGCAACGTTTTACAGGTCAAACACACAGTCTAAAGAAATAACTACAGAAAATAACCTCAACTCTTTCTGCATGTTTTAAAGTTTAACCCTTTCACACTTATAATTACACCGATGTGAGCAGCCTCGTAATTAACATCTAAAATTAAAATAGAAATGCGCAGTGCACAATTTATAAGTGTTTTCAATTAAAAACAGACCGGTATTTTTTATTAACATGACGTATGCATATAATAAGGTACAGTATATGTCAAAAACATCAGTGCAATATCAGACAGCACCCGTGAGAACAGCACAGTTATATCGTTAACAGACTCATCCATGTCAAGCAGTGCGTGCGACAAAATTTTGGCTGATGTGCCTAGATTTTTTAAGTTAGGAGCACCGGTGCTACCAAGCAAAATGGTTAATTTCGAGCCCTGCTAGGACTGTACGATATTGGAATCGGTTTTGATGGTATTTAATGGTTTTCTATAGAGTGTAATGCTGTGTTCAAACCGCATGTGGCATGTGCAAAAAAAAAAAGATGCTCAACCAGTTTACTTGCTTCATTGGCACGTCAAATTCGCTTTATTCGCGTGTCAAATTCACCTCACAATAAACGTGGATTCACGTTTAAAAGAGTAGCTATGCTTTAGGAAGGCTGAAAAACGGTAGATTCATACGGTGCCATGTCTGAGTCTACTAGATCCTTTCAAATGTGCTGCCAGATCTGTGAGTTCATCAACTCCAGAAACTGCCTGGATGATGGAGGCATTCAGCAGTGCTTTGACTGAGCCGAGCCCAGTTTGATGAATTGTTATAAGGTGTCGGCAAGAGGATTTTCCCTTGGGACACCAACAACAGGCCCTACGTCATAATCACACCCCTACAAGAGCAAGCTCCTGATTGGATAACGTGGCGCGAATGTCGACTGAAGTTCAGATTTACCAACGTTTTGTGTTTTATTTACATTTTTTTATAATTATTTTTTCGAGGTTTTCATCTTAAATAGATAGGAAAGTGTAGAGTATTGACAGGAAAGCATGGGGAGCAAAGAAAGGAGAAGGATCGGCATAGGACTGCGAGGCGGAAATCGAACTCGAGTTGCCGTGAGCACCGGAGTACATGTGTCAGTGCACTAACCCCTACACCACTGGCACCGACCAGATTTTCCAACGCACAAAACGCTCAACTCAAAGCAAAATGCTTCATTTGTGCGAATCACGTCATAACAGCATAACAGGATTCAGGTATAAAAATTAAATAATCACAGTGCAAAAACCTTTACTTTTGCTTTGTCTTGTTTCTAGTCCAAATTTTAAAAAATTCTTCAATTAAATAAAAATTAAATAAAATTTAAATAAAATTAAATAAAAATATTGTTTTGTTTTCAACTTTTCCTTGTCAGTGAGGCTAGTAAAATAATCTTATTTTCGCAAATGAAATGAAAAAAAAAAAAAAAAAAACAGACTATGAAACGAGAATTGAAAAAACGAGACAATTTCATATATATATATATATATATATATATATATATTTCTGCATAGATCTGCATAGATTTTGTAGCTCCTGGTCAACTTTACTTCAGGCTCAACATCGCATATCTTGCTATTGACTATTGTGGATGATCACATCGCAATATCAATGCTGAAACAATATATTGTGCAGCCCTATTGTATACTAAACAAAGGATCCAAGTTTGTTTTTTGGCCAGAATGTGTCCTAGAGAGTATTGATGAGAGATGCATTTGGGCTTTTTTTTTGGGATTATGTACGGTTTGTTTCATTACAGGGTGTGTACGTTTGACACCCAGTGGTTAAACTAGGTATTGCTCCTTTTTTCAAAGCAAACGCAAGTTCATCAACATTGGAGTGCGTTGAGTGCACTATTCTGTGCTCTTGAATGGCTGTATTTAAATGTTTCTGTTGTATTTCGTCTGATACAAATAGCCAAATTGTTTATCACTGCAAATCTTGTAACTACAAAATCTTGTACAATGTAACCTGCTCACCTAATGTTTATGTTTGTAATATTTATATTATTTGCTAATTAATTACCTCCTCATGTGGAAGTCTGAATCTGCATCTCATTTTTGAGTCTGCTACTGTCCACCGGAGGTCACATTTTGGTCACGGGCGCATACTTTTAGAGCCTTTCTGACTGAATGAATGAAATGTGCTGTGAAATATAGTTGGCTAAAGTGACTTTGGGCGGCTTATGCAGTGTTTAGACTGCATGATTTTCAAAGTAGTCGTGTCACAGATGTTTTCACACTGCATGACTAGCTGGGCTAGTGTTTCGTAGCTGCTTTGTTTACACTGCAAGATGGATCGGCGACAGGGGCTTTCCCATTGCATGACTTTACAATAGGAAGAATCGCTGACAACTTCGTCCAAACTACGTCTCACAACCCAAAACACGTAGTATATCTTTTGTTTTTAAATACATAACGAGAAAGAAGCCTTTAATTGGGTAGAAAATGTACATATTTGCTCACCTGGGTTTGAAGGAAATTAGTAATTTCTCCTCAACTTTCTTTATTAACTTTCTGTATGAAACGTCAATCAGACACGGGTGCTCCAGTCAAACCTCCACTAGTTTTTCTTCCATTTCTTGGGTCCGAATAAGCCAAAAATGAGCGCTTTTAACTTCTCTTCCAACCTCCCGCTGGCCTGCAGACACACACACAAACACACAATTATTTTCCGTCAAAACTTATTTCTCACGGCATGATTTGAATCGCTGACAGCTCCAGATATTTAGCAAGCCAAATATCTCACAGGCATCAGCGACTCATCTGCAATTCTATCAGATCACGTCTTTGATAGTTCATACTGTGTGAGTGTCACTCACCGATTTACCCTTAATTTCAGGCATTTGTTGGCGATTTCTCAACCTGTCGGTGAGTCAAAATCGGGGCTAAAGTCATGCAGTCTGAACTCGGGGACCAAAACAAAGACAGACGTTCTGGCACACATTTTCAAATCAGAATATCTGACTTCGTTTTTGTTTATCTGAAAAACAAGGCTGTTCACTTAGCATGTTTCTTAAATGTCTGCTATATACATCCTATGGTATTTTTATGCTTTAAGAGTTGTTACGATTCTTGATGGCAATTTGTCTAGGGTATTAAAAGGAGTAACATAAAGATGACCAAAGAATAAACTGATGATGAAGAATGGCAAGAGAAAACACCAAACAACACATTAGCACCGCAAAATATGTATTGCTCCCACATTATTTACAATATTTACAAACAATAAGATAAAGTTGAAAACAACCAAGACAAACAGGAGAGGGAACTGAAGTTTGCACATACAAACCAAAGAAATAAATGTAACAAAAACATTCCCCTAATCTCCTCCCCAATCCACTAAATAAGAAAATAACAATATGAAAAGAGAAGTCTTCAGCGCAAAAGCGCCCTGAACTTACTCTAACTAATAAATAAAAATACAAAATTAGCGCACTTCGCTAACTAGTGTGTCTATACATAAATAATCCAGCGTGCAAATATATATATGTCACGTGACTTACTATGTTGTTCTAGATCTCCCTTGTCAAGTCACAGAAGGTTTTTGAGTGGAGCAACAGCGGGCTAGAGATGTAGAAACACTCGTCAGAACTCTCAAACAAATCTCACTCAAAGTCAACAGTTAATCTCACTCAAAGTCAACATCAGTAAATCTCAATCAAAGTACACATCAGTAGCAGCGACAACGCGCACGGTCACCACCAAACAGACAACACGCCAAAACAACAACAGCTGATCTCTCCCCTTTGCCGCTTCCGTTTTTAAAGGGCTCTGCAACGAACGTGATTGGCTGAGAGAGAAGTCGTCATCGCACAGTTGATTAGGATTGGCAGTCCTGTCAGCCAATAGTGCTCCAAAGTAGGCGGTACTTGAGAAAATGACAGGGCCGGTACAGAGGGGGAGAGAGAGAGAGAAAGAGATAGAAACAGAAAGAACATACACACAGCAAAACTGTGCGGTTCATAACAGAGTCTAAAACTTACAGCACCTTTAAAACATTCAAAATCCTGGAATGGGTCGATCCAGTTTTCTTGGTGCTATTCATTTATTTAACCTATTTTTTTGGGTGGGGGGTGTTACTTTGTAAACAATGATGGGACAGGTCAATAAATGATGTTTATTTTTCACGCAGTCATCATCTCTGTTTTGTAAAGAAAATGAGGGACACGTGAATTCATTTTTAGGTGTAGTTTATACAGAATTTTCTTGCCAATTTTTTGTATAAAGAATTGAACTGAATTAGCAGCCAATTAGTTTTTAGTGCCAATCAATATTTTGCCAAATGCTGCAGCTTATATTAAATTGTGTGCTTTTTAACCATCTTTTGACACTTTCTTGCCCATTTGTCTTTTAATGTAAGTCCATTGCTGTAAATATGTAAACTGAGGCGCAAGTCTGAGATATCTACTGTGGTTATTAAAGATAAGCCCAAAACCGGTGCTGTATTCGAGTGAAAGCTCCTGTAATCTTGATGTGTGTGGCGTCTCTTGTCTCCACAGATGCAGTGTAAGTTGTTTGTGTTTGATAAGCCGGTTCAGTCGTGGGTGGAGCGAGGTCGTGGCTTGCTCAGACTCAATGACATGGCGTCCACAGATGACGGCTCGTTACAGTCCAGATTAGGTAAGAGTTAAATAGTCAGTGGTGTCTTCATCCTCTTCCTTTTATTTATTTATTTATTTATTTCCTCTTTGTAAATTTATTTATTTATTTAGTAGCATTATTTAACCAGGAAGTCTTACTGAGATTTCAAATCTCCTTTACAAGAGAGACCTGACCCATGCATTCATTCTCCTTTGGCTTCGTCTCTATTTAACCGTGGTTGCCACAGTGGAATGAACTGCTAATTATTCCAGCACATGTTTTACGCTGCGGTTTCCCTTCCAGCTGCAACCCAGTACTGGGAAACAACCATTCACTCACTCTCATACACTACGGGCAATTCTCTTATAGCGCATGTCTTTGGACTGTAAACCGGAGTACCTGGAGGAAACCCACGCCAACAAGGGAGAACATGCAAACTCCATACAGAAATGCCAACTGACCCAGCTGAGGCTCGAACCAGCGACTTTCTTGCTGTGAGGCTACAGCGCTACCCACTGCACCACCGTGCCGTGCAATAAAATTCAAATTAGATTTATTTCTAAAAGAAAAGCCAAGCTTCAGTTTTACTTCCTATTTCAGCTTCGGTTTCATATCAGTTTGACTGTGTTCATCTTAGAGCTGGCCGATTGTCCGATTCACTGTATAAAGGCAGTTCTAGTAAACCTCCAGCAAGTTCTTTCAGATGGAGCAGTATTTACTACACAGTTGTAGATAAATTAAAGGTACAGTGCTCATATTAAATGACAAAATTACATTGTTGTCTTGGGAAGTCAAATATAAAATTGTGTAAGGCACTCACCGAGATATCGAATTGAACCGAATAGATAGCATGATAATTGTAACAGAACCATGAGGCCAACCCTACTTTGCGAAAAGCCACTTGGATGAAAAAGAAATCAAGATAATTTGTCTGTAGCTATGTTTCCATTCAAAAATGCTAAATAAATGTATGCGTAAAACTGGAATATCGCATAAAAGACATGTGAATAAAGCAGCGTTTCCATCCAACAAGTCGAAGAGAACAAAATAACTTACTGATTAACTGGCGCCAAATATCAACAGTAAAACCGGAATTTGCTGCGGTAGGAGAAGCTGCATGACTCTTTTCCTTATTTAATAAATGACTTCCGCCTCATAGATAAATGCCGAAACGCAGTGAGACGTGGAGCACAGTCGCTCTCGACTGTTTAGGAGGTCATTAATAATATAATAACACTAATACTGAAATGGTGAAGGAGTTTTAGAATGACCAAAACAACATTTCAGATGTTCTACAGTGTGCTCAGCCTGCTGGTTTGTCCATTCACACACAATATCATCACATGATCTCTTATAAGAAGAATCACATGACCTTTTTTAATGCGCATACTGAAATTTGTTTCTGTAAAAAAGTTTCCATCATAGTTTATGCGCATCTTTTCTTATCAAATATAAAGTTTATTTAGGAAACGTTGCTTTATTCGCACTTTTTTATGCGATAGTGCAGTTTTGCGCGTTAATTTAATTTGCATCATTGGATGAGACACAGCTAATGACAGCTATTTGTCACTTCTCCATAAATTGAAGTACATTTTTTCTCCAAACTCACTTCAGTCATGTGTTTGAAATCAATCCTTCTGTAAGATGATTCTGTAGTCGTGTGATTATTAGTCCTGTTGAATTAATGAAAGCAGTTAAATCTGTTTATTATGCACCACTGTTGGGATTTTCTGGGTTGTTTCTTCATTGGTGTTTGGAGTTTCTGCACAATATCGCCCTCTGGCTTTCTTCTGAGGAGATTGACTACTAGTGACAGAACCGAGCTTTCCTGACAAGATGTACATCACAATTGCTGCTTTGCTCAATCATGTTTAAATTTGATCTTTTTTTTTTTTGTCTAGCCCTACTTAACCCTCATCCTCATGTCTGTGTGTGTGTTTCTGCAGTCATGCGCACACAGGGCAGTCTGCGGCTCATCCTCAACACAAAGCTGTGGCCTCAGATGCAGGTGGATAAAGCCAGTGAGAAAAGTGTTCGCATCACAGCCATGGACACTGAGGATCAGGGCGTCAAGGTCTTCCTCATATCGGTATGATGGACACACACATTTTAGGCTGAATGAGCAATGCTTTTGGGTTGTTTATCTGTTAATTATTGTAATGAGTGGTACGGTATGGTTCGATATGCTTTTATGGCCGTTTCCACTTTCAAAAGGTACCGAAAAGCAAACCGTACCATGCCACTTTTTGGGTACCCTTTCTAAAGGGCACCTAGCACGACAAAAGGATGTAAAAAGGCAGAGCTAGATGTGCATCTGAACGCTATTTGTTTACAGAGAAGCGTCACTAGCGTGTACAGGAGAATGAAAACAAGAAAGCGCCTTTTTAAATGCACAGCGTAATAATATATACATATAATAACGAGCAACGATCGACCCAAGCTCAAACAAACCTTGTCATCGTCATGATCAACAGCCACAAAGTCAAGAAGAAAGGCAGAATCCACCCTGTGCCCTGTTGTTTATAAGGCCGTCTAAAGTGCGAGCGGTTTTGCTTTCTTGCTTGCGCTCGCGTGCATGACTATGTTTAAAATAACGATAATAACGTGCGCACGATTATTGAAGCGCTTCTAACATCTGATCCTTTCAGAAACAGGCAAACATCAGAGTGACGAAAAACAAAGGAGAAGCTAAAAAGCAAAGGAGTGAATGATTCTTTCAGCAACCTAAAACATGAACAAACTGCCATGTTTAACTATTATCAACACCTTTTAGACTTTTATGAAGTCTGAATGACAGAAGTACTTTCGAACAATGTTAACGTTACATGTGCTGGTGAAGATCTTAGATACAGATAAAAGGTTTGCTCTGACTGTGGACTATATGTTGTGTGTTGTTTTTTAACCCAAATAAGGATTAAATGTCTGCTGTGTGTAGTTTATCTCTAACTGGTATCAAATCGGAGACTGTAAGGGTCTGTATGTGTTTATATACGTTCATTTCTTCATTTATTGTCTAGATTGCAGACGTTACAGTAGGCTATTTTGCACTGTCATTGATCTGCAGTTATAATCAAATTATGTTCATAGAAAAGTTAGTAATAAACATTTATACACAAGTTTTTATGTGTATAAAGCCTCTGTTTTGTGCTTCTCATATGAGATGTGAAAGACCAGTATAGCATTACTGTAGACATTTTCTCGAGCAAGAATGACGTTAACTGAAACTTTGTTGTACACCACGCCCACCATTGGTACCCTTTTTGCAGTGGAAATGCAAGCCTGATCAAGGTGACTCGTACCAACCCGTACCGTACCCCTCAGTGGAAACGGGCCACAGAAGATAACACTCGGGGATCAGGTTTTCTTGTGTGTCATATATATATATATAGACATAGACACACACACACAATAGTTAACAAATAATGTTCATATGAATCCTGGTATTTAAATATGTTTTTATAATTTAAATTGTTTATTCTAAGTTCTTTTTTTAGCCGTACAATTTTGAATGTAATAATTTAATATTATATTTAAAAATGATATATATTATTTTATTTAAAAGCGCCTTTACTGTAATGTATGTTCTGCCGTGTGTCCTCAGGCGAGCTCTAAGGATGCTGGTCAGCTGGCTGCAGCGCTGCATCACCGAATTCTGGCCCTGAAGAGTCGTGTTGAGCAGGAGCCCGAGAGCACGCCAGCTCCGGCTGAACCCGAGATCCCGCAGTCCAACGAGGACGACAGCGACGACGACCAACCCGCTAACAGCAACAGCAGCGGCGGCGGCACGGGCAACTCCACCGCCAGCGGTACAGGCCTTTAGCTCTAATCAGACTCTGCAGGATTACACCATCGCTGAATTGAACGCAAAATCAAGCAACATTTCATTTTTGAGTTTGCATTTTTGTCACGTCATAACTAGGGTTGGGTATCGCTTAGGATTATTTCGATACCGGTGCCAAATCAATACTTTTACAGCAGGATCAGTGCCAAAACAGAGCTTGATACTTTTGAGCCACAAAATTGTTTAATAAATTAATAAATGTAATAATTTTAATTGAACCGTAAAATAAAAGGCTTTTGACTGTGTTGGACATCAGTAATCTAATGATTTGCCTTAATCTGAATAAGACAATAATATGATTAAGGTGTTTGCATAAGTTGCTTTTAAATGTTCCTTTCATGATCCCATTTACATATTATAGCACATATATCAATTAACTTCATAGTGTCACGGCCCTCTCCAGCGTTTCCTCGACAGTATTTTACAGAGCATTATGTTATTTATGACATTACATGTACATCAATATTTACAGCCTTTGGCGTGAAGCTCTAAATTGAGCTCAGGTACACTCTGTTTCCACTGATCATTCTTGAGATGTTTCAGCAGCTTAACTGTAGATCACCTGTGGTAAATTCAGTTGATTGGACATGATTTGAAAAGGCATTCACCTGTCTATATAAGGTCCCAGGGTTGACAGTGCATGTCAAAGCACAAACCAAGCATGAAGACAAAGGAATTGTCTGTAGACCTCTGTGACAGGATTGTCATGAGGCACAAGGCTGTGGAAGGTTACAGAAAAATTTCTGTTGCTCTGAAAGTTCCAATGAGCACAGCGGCCTCCATCATCCGTAAGTGGAAGATGATTGGAACCACCAGGACTCTTCCTAGAGCTGGCCGGCCATCTATCCTGAGTGATTGGGGGAAGAGGGCATTAGTCAGGGAGGTGATCAATAACCCGATGGTCATTCTGTCTGAGCTTCAGCGTTCTTATGTGTGGAGAGGAGAACCTTACAGAAGAACAACCATCTGTGCAGCAATCCACCAATCAGCCCTGTGTGGTACAGTGGCTAGACGGAAGACACTCCCTGCCTGGAACTAGTGGCACTGAAATTCATATGCTTATTCGGTCTGGTGCATAACGCTTACCTAGATACTGGTGGCACAATAGCACCGGGTTTTGGTACCCAACCCTAGTCATAACAGTCTTGTGCAACGTGTCCATTGAAATTTGACACCATGATTTCAGTATTGAGTTTGACTGTAAGCTAATAATAAGTGTTTTCTTTCAGGTAACTGTGAGACCAGCGAGCCCCCGGCGTCTGAGAGCACATAGCACCCAAACCTCCGCTCGCCCCCCCCTGCAGGGTTTTAGCGCAGACGTCTCTGCGGGACAGTCCTACATTTGGGACGGACCCTCAGACGGACACGGAGTTATCTCTCCCCCCCCTCCCCCCAACAAAACCCCCTCTGTAGTTCATTTTCCCCCTCCGACATTTATTATTGTAAATCTGGAGTTGTTTCGTTTTTGTTTTTTTTATCATTACGTTGGTTTTTAGTTGTTGTTTTTTTCCTCTTGGACTGCAAATAAACAAACAAATTAAAAAGACAACAAAAAAAAAAAGGAAAAAAAATAATAGAGACTTTTCCATGTATGGCTTTGGACTTGGTCGCTCATCATATTGATGAGTGTGAGGGTGTTTCTCTCTCCACGGCTCGACAAGACTGCAGTTTCTACAGTGGGACCGTTTTTTTTACTCATTCTCTCCGTCTCTATCTCTCTTTCTATTGGCTGGCTTCATCGTGACCTTGCCGCGTCATCACGCTCATCGGCCAATCAGCTGGCTAGAGCTGCAGTCACATGACCTCCTCCTCTCTCTCTCTCTCTCTCTCTCTCTCTCTCTCTGTGTACGCTGTGGTTTCTCCCCGATTTCTGCCAGTTTGATGAGCATCTCCTGGATGTGTTCACTTTCTAGGGACAAGCTGACACTCTTAATAGTCTGCTATAAGATGGTAGTTAGATTTCTCATTGGTGTTAACAAATAAAGGACTTAACCGGCACACAGACTCGTGCTGTTTCTAGATCTCGCCGCCCCTGGGAAAGAGAAAGACAGAAGTAATCACCCAAATGTCAGTTCTGTTGGGTTATTTTTTAGCCACGGGAGTTTACCCTTTACATCTGAAACATTTTCAAGGAAAAAAAAAAAGCAGCGTTTGTTTTTATTTTCCATCTTCTGAGGGTTTGTATTGTGTTGGCCTTTTTTTAAAAGAAGACACAGATATTGGTTTACTACTATATTAACTTTTTATCCATTTACATGTGATTGGAGACATCCTGTCAGAATAATGTGTGTTGGCAGTTTTGAGTGCATTTAGACAGTAAAAAAAACAAAAGGACAAAAAAAAAAACAACAACAACAACGACTTGTACCCTTGAATGTTCTGTACATTTCTATGCGTATATTATCACTTACTAGCACACCATGTCTCCAAACTCCTTTACAGAATAAATAGTCATATCAAAGCTCAAACAAAGAAGAAAAAAAAAAACAAACATTTGAAATAAATTTTTGTCTTATGTCAAATCTTGGGCTTCTACTTCAGTCTCTCACAAAGATGACAGCGTTTGCTGTTTGAACAAACTATTTGAAATAAGAAACAGGTGGCACGGTGGCTCAGTGGCTAGCACTGTCGTCTTACACCAAGAAGGTCGCTGGTTCAAGTACTGGTTAGGCCAGTTGGCATATCTGTGTGGAGGTGCAGAGAGTTTCCATGTTCTCCCCGTGTTCGCGTGGGTTTACTCTGGGTGCTCTGCTTTCCCCCACAGTCCAAACCAGCCTGATCTCATGAGAAAACGTAAGTATTTTACGTTTTGCCAGTTTAGTGGCTAATTCGTACAAAGTTCAGTCGTACAAAACTGCACGATTTTAAAAAGGAGGCGTGGCACCCAACCCCACCCCTAAACCCACCCCTAAACCCAACCGTCATCGGGTGATGAGCAAATCGTACTAAATTGCACGAATTAGATCGTACAAATTCATATGAATCAGCCACTAAATCAAAAAGTTACGTTGTGTTGGTCCCAACGCATTCGCTATAGGTAAATTGGAGGTACTAAATTGGCCTTTTTGTATGAGTGTGTGAGAATGGATGGTTGTTTCTTAGTTCTGGGTTGCAGCTGGAAGGGCATCCGCTGCGTAAAACATTTGCTGGATAAATTGGCGGTTCATTCTGCAGTGGTGACCCCTGATGAATAAAATGACTTAGCCGAAAGAAAAACAATGAGTCGAAACAACCGATTCTTGAAGGTTTTTTTATGTTTAGCCTACTCAAATTTGTAAAAACTTATTAGTTAATTCCTTTATTGGATGTCACGGTGGCGCTGTGGGCAGCACAATCGCCTTACAGCAAGAAGGTCACTGGTTTGAGCCCCGGCTGGGTCAGTTGGCGTTTCTTTGTGGAGTTTGCATGTTCTCCCCATGTTGGCATGGGTTTTCTCCAGGTGATCCGGTTTCCCCCACAGTCCGCTGGTGGGTCATTCCACTGTGGTGACCCCTGATTATTAAAGAGACTAAGCCAGGGGTCACCAATCTCGCTCCTGGAGGGCTGGTGTCTCTGCAGGGTTTAGCTCCAACTTACCTCAACACACCTGTCAGGAAGTTTCTAGTATATCTTGTAAGAGCTTGATTAGCTTGTTCAGGTGTGTTTGATTAGGGTTGGAGCTAAAATCTGCAGGACACCGGCCCTCCAGGAACAAGTTTGGTGGTCCCTGCACTAAGCTGAAAAGAAAATGAATAATTGAACAATTCCTTCATGTTCCTCCAACACAAGTCGATTGTGTGGAACCCAGCATTTTTTTTCACATTTTTTAAATTTGTCATTTTAAATATGTATTTGAACTCAATGTAGAGAGAAAATATCACAATTGAAATATTAAGAAAATGTACTTAAATTCACTGCTTTTCAAATGTTTGGGATAAACAGGTAGTAACTAAGTAATAAAAAAAAATGTTTATAAATTTTTTTTTTTTAAGTTTGTCTTGCTTGCC